ATAATGAAAACAGGACTTTGTTGTTCAGTTCCTTCCCTCACAAACTGGAGATCTGGCTGGGGCTGGCTCCAGCTCAGACACTCAGACACATCCTCAGCATAGCCTGGACTTCGACCCAGCAAATGTCACTGTGGAGCATGGTTTCCCCCCTCCTTGAGCCTTAACTCCCAGCCCTACTGCCTTTCTCCTACCTTTTCCCAAGGCAGAACATCTCCTGGTGCCAGGGAGAGTCAGCAACTCCCATTTTCCTCCTCTGTTTTGTTCTTGACTCCTAGATCAGATGGGTGGGGGGTGACCAGGAGACAACCTGGCAAAGATTATGCCCAGTTTCCTAGAGTTCCGGTAATTTGCCTCCTGTTTGTACAGCACAGCACACTGTCGAGGCTGGGCTTTCAGAGCCCCAGAGAATTCCCAGCTGAAGTCAGAGGGATTTGGACCTGAAGGTGAAGGCATTAACAGTTTGCAGGGGAAGCAAGTCAGTCTCAAACCTAGGCTCTGACTTGGCTTTAGCGTGCAGTGTCAACATACCCACATTCTGCACAGTCTTGTCCTGGAGCCAATATCTTATGGCAGCATCTGGAAGGTGAAAGTAGGTACCTCCTAACTGTGTAACCTGCTTGGCAAGGAGTTTCCAGCCTGTCCCTCAGCCTGCTGCACAGGTGTGTGAGATTTGCATGTGGTGCAGCACACAGGCAGAGCTTTCCAGGGAAGGTGTGCTTTCCAGTTCTTTCCTATGCCAGTATTGCCGCCACCTGGAGATGAGAGGAATGAAGGCCTCCCAGCCGTTTTGCTACCTTTGTCCTTCTGCCTACTCAGACACAAAGCGCCCTCTTTTACAGCAGTTAAGGGACCCAGCTGGCACCTCCCCAGCTCTCTGGTTACTGTATTGCGAGCCCAGCTCTGAAAAAGACGGGACCCTTCTGCTCCTTGGTGAAAACACTGCTGGCCACTATGGGAGGCTTTGGCCGAGATACACAGCCCCGCACCTTCGGGGAGGAAGCAACTTGCCTGTGCTTTCCTGTCCTTGCTAGTTCAGAATTTCAGCTACAGAAATGCACGAATGAATGCACGCCTGTGTGTTTGGCAGAGCTGTGCACATAAAGAAGAAGGGGCTTTCTGCAAGTATTTTATGGCACTGAGACGGGAGAGAGATGGGAGAATGAGGGAGCTTATGCACTGCATGTGCACGTGCACATTTTCATGTTCTCTGCACAGTTGTGCATGTATATGTGTATTTCCATATTGTATCTAATAGGCTCTTTGTTTCTCTAGAGAAGAAGGAAAAGGAAATCCGCATGTAATGAATCCATTTATTTTATGGAGCTCCCCTGGAGAGGGGCAGGGAGCACGATTTATGCAAAAAAACAGGCAGCTGCTGTTGGGAGGGGTACACCAATCTGGTTTTGATTTTCATTCGTAAGTGGAGGTGGCCACACAAGCCAAGGCCTCGTAAACTCCCTGTAGAGAAGAGTGGCCCGTTGGTGTGAGGCTGTCAGAGCCTATCTGGCCATTAGTATCGAGTCACTCGCCTCTGCATCTGACTAATTCCCGCCCCGTTGTTCTGCCTTCCCAGGATGCGTTTCCCCGTGCTGTGGCCTCCCATTAGAAGACAGAGGCAGAGCTGTACTGGGGTATAGACTGAAATCTTTGTGTTGAAGGGTAAAATGCCCTTTACAGAGCATTTGCTGTTTATGTCACAGTGTATACTGTATACTACAAAAACAACAACTACGTGAATTGTGAGTTACAGTCCAGTTTCTCTCTGCCATTTAGAAGAAGACAGGGAGTGAGATGGTATGGAAAAATTTCTGGGCCAGTGGAAGTGGCAAGAGACACTGAGACAAGACACCACTCATCTGCCTTTTTTCCATCCCTGCCATTTTGCAAAACTCAGCGCATGCCATCCGGGCATTTGCTGGTGCAAAGGGACACTGGAGATTTTCATAGTGGAAAACATGTCTCAACAGTTGCAGTGCTTTCAGTAGAATTCTATTATCTGATTTTTCATCAGATCAAGAGTCCATCAAATTCATCCACCAGTAGCATGAGAAAAAATCGACCTTAGCATCTTCTAACTCACACTATGACTGTCCCATATTACAAAAATGCATGGCCTTCCGATGATCTCCACCAGCTGCTTGTGCCAGGCCAGAGCTCATGTGCCAGTAAGAATCTAGCTCAAAATTTCACTCAGTGTCTGTATTCTTCACCATCACCTTGTGCATGCCCAGTAGAGGTAGGCAGGTAAGTGAGCAGACAGATATATCAATTCAGGAAACTGAAGATGAAAACTGGTCCCAAAACTACCCTCACACACTAGCAGCAATTAATTACTGCACAAGGTTAATCAATTTTTGTTACTCTCCATAACTCAGATGTTTTACATTTTCTTTCCCGACAGATAAATATAGGTAGCCAGCAAAGGATATTTAGAATTGGAGGAATGTTGAACTCTCCATCCCATGGACATTCTCATTCCTATTTATTAGACACACATTTCAAGTCATACACAGAGGCTGAACATGTTATGAAATCTTGACTGAATGGTAGGGTGAACATCTTAGGAAATCTTGGTTGAATGCTGCTGTATCTGTTAAATTTTGTCACTGCTCCTTTCCGCTCTTGCTTGTGCAATGTTTCATTTTAATGTGTTCATACACACCAACAGGGAAGAGAGGCACAATTACACCCCATAACTGGTTACATCCCTGAAGCACTCAAAGGCTAAGGTTTGTCCCACATTGCAAAGCTCATGCAGCCAAGGGCTAGAGGGCTGCTGATGTACCCGTGCCAGCACAAAGCCTCACGTAGATGCATTTAAACTGGTGCAACCCTGTACTGTCTTCTTTTTTTGTCACTGCATAAACAAAGGGAAGAGACAAATGCAGGGAAGAGAGGAGACAATAACCAGTGCCCAGTACAGCAAAAGACTCCACTAGATGTACAGACCATATTGCCAACAGGTGGCTGTGCCAACTAGCAATACTTCCGATCATTTGCTAACTACTCTACACTACTATTTCTCAAGCAGAGCCACATACATCGTATGCAGGTGCTCCATACTTCATGAGTGGTCAAAATGCAAAAGCTTATTCTTGCTATTATGTTGGACTTTGACTTTAGCTTCTAAAAATGTATAATTTGATCAACAAAAGAAAAACATGTTGGAAAAAAAGCTTATGGCTTACCAAGGTCATGCAACAAATCTGGCAAAGCACAAAACTGAACATAGGTGTCCTGCATCTCCAAATTCTACAAATACCCAGCTCTGAGGACGAGGACAGGGATTCGTTCTCTGCAGTATCTCAGAAGATCATAGAATCACAGAATTGTTTGAGTTGGAAGGGACCATATGGACTCCTCTGCAATGAACGGGGACATCTACAGATAGATCAGAGACCCATGCAGCCTGATCCTGGATGTCTCCAAGGACAGGACATCCAGCCACATCTCTGGGCAACTTGTGCCAGTGCCTCACCACCCTTACTGTAAAAGAATTCCTTATGTCCAATCTAAATAACCCCTCTTCTAGTTTGAAATCATTCCCTCTTGTCCCACCACAACCAACTCCACTAAAGAGTCTGTCCCCAGTGGAAGACAACATGAATCAACACGGTCAGTTTGTCTGGAGGAGAATGTTTGAAGCACAATCTCTGCTCTAAGGTTACTGACTCTGAACAGATCATCAAGAGATCTTGGGCAGACTGGTATCCCAGGCCTCAGTGACACAAGCTTCCTCATCTGCTAAGGCCTCTTTCTGGTTTTCCAGAACTGGAGATCAGCACAACCCCATGCTGCAGCCACTTGTATACAGAACTATCCTTACAAAAAGCTATTTCTCTTGCAAAGGACGGATAATATAGTCCCGAAGAGGGCACTCAGAACCATACTGCACTTTGGAGATGAGCCCAGCAGCACTTTCAGAATCACATGCACTTTCTCCGCCCTTCTCAAGCCCTTGGCAAAATGGAGATTCAAAGCGATCGCTTTGATTAAATGCTTACGGCCACTTAAGCATGACTGCCATGCATGGCCCACCTGGCAAGGCAGGCACACCTCCCCCAAGCCCACACTGGGGCCATAACACTTGCAGGCTGTGTAGGCTGCTCTGCTTCAAGGCTGCCACATTCCCCTCCAGCCGTGTCGTCGGCAGCGTCATGCTGACAGGTTCAAGCCGTGCAGAGAGGGTTGTTTTTATAACCTGTTCTCTTTTAACAAAACTTTCCCAAGCTTATTCCTCCCATTATAGTCAAGATCACCTACTGCTCAGGGGGATTCAGATTCTTAAAGCGAAACTGCAGGAATACAGGAAAGATTGATACACAGTGACATCCAAGGAAGAAAAATCTTAAACAGACCAGTTATTCCAAATACTGAGCTCTGCAACATCCCCCATTTCTGTCTGGCAAGTCCCCTCTTTTCCCTATTGTTCCTGGTTCCACCATAACAAACTCTGCAGGTGTTCCTCATGCTGACCTGTAGCTTTTCTACTCTTCCAGTCCTGGAACCAAACATTTTGCCCACCACTTTACTTTGATCCTTGACTAATAACTCAAAATGCCACAGTGCTGTGCTCATATCACACCTCAGCTCTGTCATTCTCAATAAAATTGGTAAGCACATGTAATCACAGGACGGTTGAGGTTGGAAGGAATCTCTGGAGGATATCTAGTCCAACCTCCCTGCTCAAGAAGGGCCACCTACAGCAATTGAACTAGGGCTGTGTCCAGATGGTTTCTGAACGTCTCTAGGGAGGGGACTCCACCTTCATTCGGTTAGCAAAAAAATACTTCCTGATGTTCAGAAGGAGCCTCCTATGTTTCAGTTTGTGCTCATTGCCTCTTGTCGTGGCAGTGGGGACCACTGAAAAGAGACTGGCTCCGTTCTCTTTACACTCTATTTTTCTATTTCTATACATTTCAATTTTGATACATCGATGAAATTTCCCCGTGAGCCCTTTTTTTTCTGAACAGTAGGCTGAACAGTCCCATCTGACTCACTTCTTCCTCATAAGAGAGATGTTTCAGATCCTTCATCATCTTCATGGTCCTTTACTGGACTCTCTCCACTACATCCATGTCATCCTTGTAAAAACTCTCTGGAGCTTTTGCTGAGCTGTCAGCAGTGATGCTCAACTCTTTTCCTAAAGAGAAAGAATTCAATTAGAGCACTTTAAGATGGCTGAGCAAATGAGTTTTCTCCCAGGCATGCATTAACTTTTAGCATTCTACGAGGAACTTCATTTGCCATTGAGATGCTTTTTCAGTAAGCTTAGCTGGGTCTCTCTAAATTTCCTCACAGTCTTTCTTTTTCTTGACCAAACTAAATTTGGCCAGTGCTCACATGCTACTATTTAAATCCCCTGCAGTGCAAATGAAAAAAACATGCTATAACAGGATTCTAAACAATGCCATTTGTTTTTTGTCTCAAAATTTTTGTATTGAATTTCATGCTCTTGAATCCACAGCCCTGAAGAACAAAGTCCCCTTCCTACCCAAAAAGAACTGAAAAGGCATGACAAGAACAAGTTTCTTCAGTGCACTAGGGGATCAGCTTTTATGTTCCCTAGCGAGTTTAGATTCTGAGGAATATTTAGTCCATAACTTCTTTGAGTAAACCATCAATGAGAGCAATGAAAGTCCAATGTCTTTTTGAAACAGCAATACTCTTGCCCACTAGGAGTGAGACTACAAAAAAACTTTTTTCACACATGTGCTGCCAAAGAGCTGTCAAATGGGAACAGCTTATTGTGAAATGTTTTTGTCATGAGAATGAATATTCACCCAAGAACAAAACAAAACCTATCAACCTCTCTGACTTTAAAAACAAAAAGCCCTCTGGATGAGCGTTTCAAAGTTGCTCACCACCCTCAGTTGGCTTGTGATCCAGGACCCAGCAAAGTTCAAGAGCTGCTGCCCAGTAGGGCAGGGAATGAGATCCCAAACAGGTGTGGACCAGGTGTGAAAAAGAAGAAGGTTAACACACCCCATCCATCACAGGTCAGCACATCTGTAAAAACGGAAATAAATATTAACTCAAGGCAAAATCTTGTCTGGAGATGAGCAGAATTCTCCCCAGTGACAACTAAAGAATATCATGTGGTGAGGACTGCAGCTGAGCTGATTTACTGCTAAACTGCACTTGTATGGCTGCAAGAGGCACTCGTTCCCTCACAGCTGAATTGCTTCTTCTCAGTATTAGAGACAAAGAGGCCTAGTGCTCTTCTGAATATCTCTCAGCTTCATTTTTCCAATTGCAAACCAATGGTTTGAAACTTCACTGACTTGCCAGACTCATAAAAAGACGCTATCAGATGCTAGCCAAATTGTGGAGAACAGCATGTTTTATGAAAACCCAATTAAACTCTGGCCATCAGTATCTCACTTTCATCTCTACCAAGCATTGTCTCAGCTTTCTCGTTGTATGCCAAGCTTATATTCTTCTCTGATTCGGTCAGTGACATTAGAATTAACAGTTTCATTTTGTTTTGATGTTTTTTGGGGGAAAGAAGGCAGAGTCCTTCTTGTTTATATGCTAGGTCTGCAGGATACCAGAAACAAGAATTTTCAGGGTCAAGGAGGGGACTTTTCTTCCATAACTGAGCTATGAAAAAGGGAATTGTTTGTCATTAACATTCATACAAGCACACACTGAATGTCATTCCCTGAAAGAACCGATAAATAAAATAAAAACACAATACAAAGAGAAATCCTGCCTGGTGATAACTTCAGAAATCCAGATCAGTGGAATAGCTCTTCAAGCTGAGCAAAATAACAGAGGCCTTTATGAGTCCCTATGGTCCCAAGTACCTGGTAAAGTGAACAGTGTCACCGAAATACCTCCATTCCCTTCCTTCCACAGGGGAATTTCCCTTCTTGTTGTCTCTAAACACTTAAGTTTCCAGCTGACTGTGATTCATTTTAAGAACTCATAAATGCAGGGAGCATATTGTGTTTTCACCTGACTGGCAGAAAGGACAGCTATTATTTTCCATCAGCTTTCAACCCTCTTCCAAGCCACTGATTAACAAAAGCAACAAATTCCCCTGGATACTCACGTAAGGGTCACTAAAATGCACTGCAGTGCAACAAAATGCAAAACAGATTAGGGATGAAATAAAACTGTTTTTAATAGATCAACAGTCATCACCTAAAACTCCACTTCAGCCCATCTGATCTTTTTTTCCAACAAACCAATCCAGGAAACAAATTTGCTGATGGTGTAAACAAAACAAACAAGAGATGTCCTACTGTCTTGTCATTATCATTCTTCTGTTGTTTTCTGTCTTCGTGAAAGACTGTCTGCTATTGTCTGCTACTCACTGTCGTTTTAGTGTAAGTCATAAAATGCAGTGTGAAGGGCAGTGTCTGCTTTTATTTGTCATATTTGAGATTTGTCACGCTGAACAGTATCTGAAAACACAAATATATATATATACATGTTCTCTCTAGGTCTGCAGAGTGCAAAGATTCAGACAACTGAGTTAACTTGATAAGACAAATCTGTCAGGACTCAGAGCAGCAGCAACTATAGGTGTGGACAAGTGGTGCCCCATTCTAAACTTTTTACCAGCTGGAAAAGAGCAGCATCACAAATACCAGCCTGAGAACCACATCAACAGCATAGTTGCCTAAATGAGCACTCTTCTCAAAAATACCCAGAGGAGTTTGATGACTGAAAGGCTCCAGAAGTAAAGGGCTTTCAGGCAAATCCATCTGATATATTTGTTATATGGTGCCAGCATAATTTCCCTTAATGGCTAGAGAAAAAGGGGAGCACAAAAAGGGTCAGTTGGGAATGTTACGTGCATGTGGGGGAGGGGGAGCAAAGAAAAGGCAAAACTAGCTGAGAACAGGCTCCATCTAAATTGCATGCAGACCTCACACAAAGCACAGAGAATTGGTCAGTAGATTGAAGCCATCTGGCTGGAGGAGCCATAAGAGGAAAACCCTGCTGGAGATCTCTCCATCACGTCCCATCATGGTCCAAGATCAGAGCACAACATGGGCTTCCCCCGTTCCAAACTCATGGAGTTAAAAACAGGAAGAAAAGCAAGAGGGGGACTGCAAAGTTTGTCATTCTGGCAGAGCCTCCACTCACAAAATATAGATCCAGCTCGCACTCTCTATTGCAAACAATTTCAGTCCTGACTCATATTTACCAAAAAAAAAAAAAAAAAAAGAAAAAAAGAAAAAAAAAAGAAAGAAAGCATAAGTGTTTGACTCCTGACTGAAACAGGCTGCAGAGCCTGCCCAGCACAGCTTCATGTAAATTTTAACCTGAGTGGTCAGAACCTGTGCTTGTGGACCCTCCCATGCTGGGAACACGGACTATACGTATACCCACAGTAGACACTCAGTGAAGCAGGTGCTACAGCAACACATCAGTTTGCTGAAAGTTTGGGCATCACTCGTTTTGCCTACACTGTTCCAAGGCCTATCTGGTAAGCCTTGGGCTTTGGCCGCAACAAGGGAGAAACTGAGTCAAGGCTGCACATGCTACAACCAGCAGCGCAAAACACGGATGCAGACAGCTGGTCCAGGCTTTCAAGGCTCCCCAGTGAAAGACTGCTACAGGGCTGCTCTCAGATGAATGCACCGGAGAACTCCTGGTCTTCTACTGCCCATCCTCACCATGTACAAACATGTCTGTTGTTGAAATCAAACTGAGCATTTGTTACGGCTCTGTCTGGAAATGTCTGAAGACACAAACGTTGTTTTAAGGCCCTGATAAACCTTCCGTCTTCACTTAACACAAATTAGGATTGCTTGCATTTCAGGTATCTGAAGACTTAATATTGGTCTTTATGCCAACCCTGCCTTAACAGATTTAGTATTTTTCATGGCCTTTTTCTGAAGGCTCTCCTTCACCTGGCTTGGGGGAAAACAAAAGAAAAGCCCACACAACATCTGGAAAGATTAAAGCTTTGGACTGTTGCCGGTCTGATGTCTATGGTGTTGTTAAAGAGTTTTTCTTCTGATTCTTCCATGCAACCCAAATATTAATTTCCAGAGATCAAATCTCAGTGCAAGCAGCTCAGTTATTTTCCATCGTTTTGACTTACTTGCCTATATGGAACATTCCCAAAATGTCAAAAGCCACTGATATTTTTTAAACACTGAAAATCTCAGAACTTCCTATTTCTGTATCAGAAGTGAATTTCATTGAACCTAAAGGCTTTTCCCTCTAACAACTGTCTTCACCAACGTATTTCAACTGGTATAGTAATGCCACAGATACTGGGTATGAGAATAGAAGCATCTAAAATATGTAAGGAGAGAGGCAGGTAGTGGAAGAAACAGAACTGAAGCGATATTGGCAGAAGAAGTTGGATTCATTTTCCCAGTGGATTTTTTTGTTTACGCTAAGCCTGAAATATTGGAAGGAAACATAATAAAATTATTACTTGGTTATTTTGCTTTGAAAAATAACTATATCCACTGGGAAAAGATAGAAACCTTAAAAATATAAACATGTTATTTCCAAGTGAGTTGCTCATTTTCCTGCTAGAGTACCATCGCTTTGCTCTATACTCCTGCTCTCTTTGCAGCTTTTCCTTCTTTCCAGCCAACTTTTCATCCCACCCCACACTTCAAATTATTAATTTCTGTCCCAGTATCATTCTCTCCTACCTCCTCAAGTCTGTTTCAGAAGGTAGTTCCCAGTACACGGATACAAGAAGTTGGGGTTAGCTGTTCATTTGTGGAATGGATAGGTTCTGCAGGCTGACAAGCATTTGGCTACTCTCAAGCAGGACACCTGGTTCACATGCAAGAGATGAACCCTGCAGCAGCCTCTGATCTCCAACAGGCTGCGACACTGGACAATCTTCAGAGAGGTCCTTGTGTCCCAGTGGCTCTGAATGGTTGAGTAATGATGAACTGAAGTCTTGGTGCAACATGACTGTTTATTATTCCCTTCTTTTACCTACACTTGGGGTTGGGGGGGTGTGCAGGAGGGCACTTTTGTAGATTCTTGGGTTTTCTGGGTTATTGTTTGTTTTTATTAGTTTTATTTCCTTTTGTTTTTTTTTTTCCAATCAGTAGTTTCATTTGAATTATTTGAGCTATTTTTATCTAACTATAAAATGTGATATTTCTAAGTATTAACTACCTGAAAAGACAAACCTGTGAATGTCTTACTCCTTACAGCTGGGTGGCTCCAGCTCTGAGGATTTGTAGCAATTAATAAGCATGTGTGGCTAACAAGCCATTTTGAAGAGCTCACTAAATTTCCTCATTTAAAAGCTTAGATGACCAGTTGTTGCACTTGAACAAATTTATTCCGCTTCTGATCGCTCAGCATCAACCTACATGCTGTCACAAAAATTCTAGACATTTTGCAACATAGTCATCACCAGATCGAGAATGTTTCCCAATTTTTCAATGGGGAAGGGAGACAGGCGGTTGGATGAAGTGAATGCTGACCTGCAGTGACCCCTTCTGGAAAGCACCAAAAATGTACCATTGGAAACAAACCTGTACTGGTCTGGGGGGCCTGTGTGGGAACTGTGTGACCTAGTAGCTTTTTCCATCTCAATTTCTATGACTTTTAATGTTGTTTCATTGGAACAGCCTCAGCCTTCGTAAGATATTTGCAAAGTAAAGCTCTGGAGCAGATACACATCTATTAGCATCCAATGGATCAAAAAATGCCCAAAGGACCAGAAAAGTTGCTTTGTTGCTGGAAGCAGAAAGTAGTAATGTGTTATAGCAAATAAGAAAAAAGCAAACATGCTCCATTTTCCTGTTTGGAAACAAAACATAACAAAAAGCAGAACACAAATTTGTATGAAAAAAAAAAAAAAAAAGGCTTATAGAACACCTACAGTGTCTAGTCCCAAAGGAGTTCAGAATACCATTTCTTTGAGAACAGAGCCATAAAATCTTTAGAGGCCATAATCAATTAGGACATACATTTCTCATCTAAAATATGCTACTTCTTTACTTCTGCCAACCCCCCTCCTTCCCCCCCACTTGTGAACACAGGTTTAATTTTAATTCAAAAGGAAAAGCATTCGTTCTTTAATGGTCAGTGACATCCCATTCCATTCCATTCCTTAGAAACGTGTGCTTCTATCTAAACTGGACCACCCTCTGCAGTGCTGACAAAACACAGACCATGGATGAAATTACTTGCAGAAAGCAAGTCATTTTATTTTCTTTTGTACACACACACAGTATTCAGGATTATTTTTTATTTTACCCCCAAATATGAGGGCTTGATGAAATAAGCACATTCAGAAATTATCTGTAAGAAATCAGAAATATGTCAGATTTCCAAACTTGGAAAGAGACAATGGGCTTCAACCCAAGTTGGCACCAACTTTATTTGTCTCCTTTGGACAAAATGGTCTGCATTGCTAGTGGTTCTAGAAAACACTCGGAAGGCAAAGAAAATATCTTGGAGATAGAGAGGATTTACTCTACAAAAAAACAATTATTTATGAAAGCAACTGTTTTCCTTCTTTGCATTAAAAGATGTGTCACTTAAATTACTATAACGGACAGCACTTATCTACAGGCAAGAGAAGCAAGTGGAGTTCAATGTTACTTGAACTATCACCATGTTGGTTGTCTCTGTCAGACCAAAACCCACAGTGCTGTTTAAATGTCATCACTGACAGTCAAATGACATGGTAAAGCTCTTGAACAGCACCCAGCCCTGTTTTCTTATCTTTACCATGGAGAGCCAGCACTGCGTTCCAACCGTCAGTTTCTATCCCATCGAAATAGTCAGCCTTACAGTTTTCCTCTTCACATGAGACAAACAGAGGAAACTGGGTTTAATTTAAGACATTGAATAAATTCTCCTGCCAGGTTGTTACAGCCAAGCTCCTTTCATTAGGATAAAATTCTCTATACAAAGAAAATCTTAAAAATGTGACATTTCTACAGTGTTTAGCAACACTGCTTTTTCTCATAAGGAAATTATCCTCAGACTGGATGGCAGTAATTATTTTGTTTGGCTCTTATTTCTAAGCTTTTGGACAAGCTGAAAATCACTCTGCTTCTAGAGGACATTATACAGCGTAGTTCAGCAAGAGAGCAATAGTTATCTTCTGGGATGACCCTGTTTTCATTGCTTAGCATTGAGCACAGGGAGTCTGGTCAGAAGCCCTGCCTTCATTCTGATTACTTCAGAAGTCTTGGAGTTGTGAACTTAGAACTACCACAGAGGGGGATTTCCAGTAATTTTCTCATCTGGTAAACCATTCTACAAACTAAAGAGATGATGACAGCACCTGAAGAACCTGCATGGTTTTATCAAGGACTACAAAAACAGAAAATGTAGCCCTTTGAGAGGCATTTGCTTTCAAACTGTATTGTAACAAGATGCAAGTGTAACAAACAAAAGGAAGGTGATGAAAGAACTCCTGAGATGGGATGATCACAGTTCATTACCCATTTTGTTGTATACTACATTTAGGTCACAATTTATATTTCACATCACATTTTAGCTAGAAACTTGGAAAAAAAGTACACAATGTTTTGCATGAGCACTGTAGACCGCTGGCACAAGCAAATGGCATCAACACACATTTATTGTCATCAAACAAGAATTTGAGGAAACTCACTGAATGCACTTTGCTACAGATCAACTGGAAAGTCAGGAGAACCTCAAAACGGCAGCAGCCCTTCACTTCACACTACTCTTTTCCCTCAGGTGATAAGGGCGGGGAACTGCCGCGCCTCAACATGGCGCCCTAGAGCCCGCCTTTCCGCCGGCGGAAGCGGGAGTGACGGCAGCGAGGGCGACGACAAGATGGCGGCACCCGGCTTGCTGCGCGGGGCGTTCAGGCGGTTGTTCGCCGGGCTCTGGGGGAGCGGCTGGGTTTCACCACCGGCCAGAACCCTCCGGGAGGGTGAGTGCAGGAGCGGCCGTCGACGAAGGGCTGCTCGGGGGTCGGGGCAGTGCTCCGGGATCATTCTGTATCGCTCCGGTCCCCGGGCTGCCCTCTCGCTCTGGTCTCGCACCGCGATGGAACATTGCTCTGTTTCACCACCACCCCACCACTTACTGATTTTTTTCTTTTTCTTTTTTAATTTTTATTAAGGAGGAATGAGTCTCATTTTGATTTCTTGTCTTTTTCTCCTTTATTTTTGTTTTGTGTAGTCGTGGAAGTGACTGAAGGCAACACGACCATAGTAAGTCTCTGTCCCTACTTCTTTCCCACTTGCAGCTCGTGCTGTTAATTCTTCTTTCTGCAGAAGGGAATAAGCCTGTTGGTTCCAAAAAGGGAGGGTGAAAGGGTCGGCTTTCTGCCCAAACGACATCGCAGCCTGTGAAGGCCAAACAAAGGAAGAAGAGCGTTACAAGTGTAGTTAAGCTGGTTGGCCACACAAATGGTTTGGCCACAGCAAGCGTGGGTCGTCACCCTGCTGCTGGTGAGGTGATGGAGGGCTCCAGTGAGAGCTACCCTGACCTCTTTTGTGGTAATACCCGATAAAACTGGGAGCCCTGGCACTTGGTGCCATCTCAGCCCCATGGTTAGCACAAACAGGCATGGTAAAAGTTTGCCTGAGTGCAGAGCTGTTCAGTGCCAGCTGTATGACACGTGTGTGCTGCTTGCCTTTAATGTGCGTTGTGTTTGTTAGTCACAGTATGTGCCTTACTGGCTGCTCATGGTGTTAAGCTTGCCTTTCGTAATGCATCCAATGAGAAAAAAAATTAGTAGAAGAGCTGTTGTCAAAAGGAAGACTCTAGATACTCAAAGAATATTGCTTCTGAAAATAAACAGGTTCTGAGGTATCTGATTAAAAAAAAAAGAAGAGCATTTTCTCAGTTATAATATGTGAGAGAAAAATACCAAAGCACTAGAATTACTAGAATTAGCATTTTGCTTAATCAATGCCATCTGTTCTGTTGTACTTTATCAAGAGAATTATTGGTGTTTAGAAAAAGTACTGAAATGAATAAGGATGGGGAGCAAAATTCAATTAATCTGCTCATATTACGTATACCAGTAACGATATGTATCTTGTAGACAGACAGTACAGATACTTGGAAGTGTTTAAATATCATTGGGGGAGCAGAACAGGAATTATATATAAATAAGGGTTGAAGGGACTTTTTCTTCCTAGTGAAATGGGCAAAAACTGACTGTTTATACACTTAAAAGTCTGAATTTCCTTTGTGTCATCTTTGGATTTGAGGACACTGCCATATTTGAAACTTGAATGGAGTAGGTTACTTATATGTATAACTTTTTACACTAGCAGAGTCTTCTAGGAAAAAAAAGAAGTCTCAGCTTCCTGTCTCTTTGTGCATCATGGGGAAGATCTGGATACTTCTGCATAATATGCATCAATAATAATGCATCAACCTATGATTCATCCACGGTCATAGATGAGAAAATCTTGTAACTTGATTCTTGTATCTTGTAAATTGATCAACTAAAGGGCTGATGCATTTCTTAGCGTATCCACTGGTCACTCCATTTTTCCTACAAGCTCAACATCAGGTTTTTCTTAATCTATCTGCATGCTCATCTGCCTATAAACTCTTTATCTTTAGTCAGTATTGAAGGAAGTGTTGTATATGAGCCAGATGAATGAACCCTAAAGGAATTCAGAATTCATCAGCATACTGAGAACATCAAACCTTTGTACTCATTCTTAGTCCTGTAACAGAAGAATAATAACTCAGTGGCATAACAGTATGATAGCCCTCAGTTTTTGGTCAATAATTACCCAAACCTGTGTGTTGAAATTGTGTCAAGGAAAACTGATGTAGCATTCTGATTATATTTTTTCTCATTCACTTTTGAGGTGAAATTACAGTCAAAGTACAGTCTGAAGCCAGACTGCCAAGAATCAATGAGACTCTGAGGGAATTAGACATGCTGGCTTCCCCAGAAATCATTTTACCAACAAATGGAAAGTAGATACTGACCTGTATTTTATTTATATATGTATAGATATATAGATATTTAGATATATCTAAAATGCTGGTCAGTGTGTGCATGTGTGTTATTATTAATGTAAAACTTTCTGTTGAAACTGTGGGAGAAGAAGCCTTAAATAAAAATTGCGAGTATTCCCTCTTTTTGAGGTACGGAGGTGCTTCAGCCACAAATAACCTACTCATTTGCCATCACTAGACAAGAAAGATGCTTGGTCTAATATCTTACATCGTGGCATTTCAGATGAATACCAGTGTCCCACACGTACTTAGAGAAAATGTCATGTTTTTTTTCTTCCCAGGTTTTCAGACCCAAACTTGACAATTCAAAATAAAGCAGCTTTTTTTTTTTTTTTTTTTTTTTTTTTTTTTCTCTCCTTACAAGCAAAGTTGTGTTCATCCACAGTATGGCAGACTTTAATTAGATAGTTGGGATTTTTTTAAACTGTGTTACTTGAACTATTTGACCCTAGCAGTTGGTGTTCCATATGTGGTTTTAATCTTGACCAGAAATTTTCTTCTTCCAGAACATTTTGAAGAAAAACTGGCTTTGTCTTTTTTGTCTTTTCTGTCCATTCAGCTGCAAGTTGATAGCTCTTGCTTCTATTCATATAAGCCCTCAAAAAAAAAAAAAGAAAGACAAGTACACATTTATGTATGTAGACATCATATTCCTAACATCTACATTTAGAAAACAAATTTCTCAAGTTCCTCCTACGTACACCTACATTTCTTTGGATTTTTCTACATTTCTTTTGAGAAAGTTAAGAAAATTTGCTTGTTAGATGTCACCATTTTGTAGTGACAGAGGAAAAGGTTGTAAAATAGTCTCCCAAAGGAATTGTTCAGGGAATTAAACTAGAAAAAATATTAGTATAATTTTAAAAAGAAAGAAAAAAGCACACAACATTCCTGTCTGATTTTTTTTGCTCATAATTTTCCCCATTGGTGGTTTATAATCCAGCAAGCCTATGCGTGTTTTGGCCCACAGCAAGCATCTGCTGCTCTCTGATACGCTCATATTCCCAGTGAAAATATTTAAGGCTTTTGGCTAACAGACTGCTACAATTGCAAGGCATAGTGGTTCAAAGGAATACCACAATAAGTGGAATTCAAGCAAGAATGAGAACTTCACGTTGTGTACTAGTTTAGTTTTGAATAAAATATATATAAGATTTACCAAATGGTTTTCTGAGCCCCTTTTCTTTTATCCCTATTGTCTTTGCATTCCCGAAGTGCTTGATTTGTGTATATATACATATATATATGTGTGTGTGTGTGTGTGTGTGTGTGTGTGTGTGTGTATATATATATATATATATATATATACGAGTGAGTTGTATAATGCAAATCCTGTCTCCCTTACACCTGTGCAATACTGGTCAGCACGTTGTAGACTTGATGAAAGATATTCCTGAAGTCCCAGAGGAGGTTAGGTGCAGGTACTATGGAATCTTTACTCATTCATTGTATTCTATGAATTGCTTCTTAGATTGAAGGGAAAATTATAGAGGATGTTGAAACACCAACGCCTCCTAACCCCTCTGGCCAGTGTCCTATCTGTCGCTGGAACCTGAAGCATAAGTATGATTATGTGGTAAGTCTAATGAAGTAGTATTCCCCACAGGTGGATAAATATTGCTCTCGGGTGTAATGTACTGCGCAGTCTGCCCCCTTTCTTCTTTCCCTGGGTGTGGTAAAAATAGGCAATTCCATCTATGCTTCCTTTGATTGTAACAAGAATAACTTCCTACGTTGTAATTGCTTGCCTTGGCTGGTTGTGTTCATTGGAGGAAAAAAAAAAAAGGAGGGGGATTTTCTCATATCGAGTAGGAGGTTTGGGATTATGCATGTGCCCATTACTGCTTACCATCTGATCCTAGAGCATGTGTTTCTAGTGTGCTTAGCTCTCCTTCAGCATTGCACTTCTAGTTAAATGGAACTGGAATGCAATATTAAACTATCAGATTCAAGCCTGTTGTAACGCCAGAGAGGCCAATAAACTTGATTAAATCAATTGTGTATTTGAGCACCATGGTTTCATTTTGGATCACTGTCCACTAAGGTAGTAACTGAACTTAAGAACTCTAAAGTTCTTGATGGATATGAGGTAGAGCACACATGCTTACTTCCCTTTCCCCTTAGCAACAGAAAAAAACAGATTTTGATTGATGTCTTTTGCAGGAAATGATTATGAGAGTATTAGTAACACTAAACGTGGAAGATAGAGGGGAAACTGTAATTCTTTAAAGCAAAAGCACCATAGAATAGAGAGTATGAGGTAGAAGACACCAGATGTAGCCTCACCAGAGGTCATTCAAACACAGAGGTCATAAAAGAACTAAGTGTTCCCACCACCCTAAAATACCAGTGCTGGAATCAAAAAAGAAAACCAGACAAGAACATCCTGTTACTAAGATTAGGTAACAGAGAAGTCAGAACAAGTTAATGCCAGTAGGATTAAGGTGAAAGAGATACAAATACATCTGGAGGAAAATGAATACTTTTGAGAAAGGAAGACCATTAATGTGAGAGAAACTGAAAGCCCTGTTAGCTGCACAATGACTGAGCTGCTCACATTCAGTCCTAGTGCACGCAGAGATGAAAAACTGTTTGGATATCTGGGTACTAATGACAGTCTTGCAGATGACTACTGCAAGGCAGCAGGGAAAAAAAAAAAAACAAATTAAACAGATACATATTTAAGCAACAGAAATAACTTAAGTATTGAATTAGGTACAGAGCAGGAGGCCTGGCTTGCGTGTAGCCCCCAGGTGGGGGCTACCTGCAGCCAGAGTATTTAGAATCACTGTTGAGACTGTTCCCAAAAATCAAGAAATCCTAGATACGTGTCCATCCTGACTGTTGCATAGTTTCTGAATGTTTCTGTTTCTGAGTACATACATCCAGTACTCCTGCTGCAGAGCAGAATAGAATCTAGACAAAAGGCTGAAGATAGTAGCATGAACTAGCATATCCAAGTTGTAGCATGTTCCTGCCTCAGTATTTAGAGCTGTTCCTCCACGGAATTCCAGGGCTGATGTGAACTAGGAAAGTTTCAGTTCTGGAGTAGATCACCTCTTCTGCTTGAATAAGTGTGTTATATGTTTGAATGCCAGTTGAGAATGTATGGGCTTTTAAATGTTAAGGTGAATAAAACCTCCCTTTTTTTGCACAAAAGCTCTCTGCTGTTTTTCTATGCTACAGCAGTGATGACTAGCAGAATCTTGAAATGCTCAAACAATAAAGGGCAGACACATTACTGTGTGGGTAATTAAATGGTGGCACAATTTACTCACTGGTGGTTGAATTATCCTAAAAGACAGTAAATCGAGAACAGCTATTTTTGTTAAAGACACAGGCTAGTTTAAAGCATAAACTATAACCTGTGTTTGGTAAGAGATTAGAATAGATGGATCACAGTGGTTCTTTTGAGATTGATAAGCTGAGATCAGTCAGTTGCACAGAAGGGAAAGTGTGAGCTTTTTTGCTTGGGACGCTTGTAATTGGAATGAATAAGGCACTATGAAAAGGGAAGTGTTGAATTAGCCCCTGAGGGAGCTGAGTAATATGACCTCATAGGACTTTTCTTTTGTGATGGGCAACTAGCACAGTCTAAAGTAGTGGCATAATGAGTTACTTTAGCTGTCGTAGATCGGGGGGACCAATGTCTCCTAAGTTATTAATCAACCAAACAGGCATTGTGAGCACTCTCGGGTCATGATTCCAACTTGCCTCAGCTGTGGTGTAGGGAGCTGCAGTTGTCATTGCCAGTTCAGTCCTTAGTCTCTGCTAGGCTCAGGATAAAGGGGCCCGAGGCACAAATTCCCACAGTTTGTGATCTGGGTATGTCTATCCACTAAAAACTGAGAGTTGACTTTATTTTCTGTAGCCACTGGAGATTTTAAAAAATAAAATGATTTTGATCATTGTCAGGCAACGGGGTTGAAATCTGCACTCTTCTTACAAAATATCTAGAGGATGGTGTACAGCTCCCAGGAGTAAGAGTGAAAGGAAGAAGTATATTCTTGTGTAACTGGAAATAATGACTTGGCTGGTACAACCCAGTAGTAATTTGGCTACGCAGACAAATCTTACTCTGGTAAGTGAAGGTTTTAATGAATTGCATATAACTCGCCAAGGACATTGCTTTTCAGATTGTCTGCAGATAGTAAAATGCAGAGATGCCTCTGCATTTCAGTTGCTAAACAAAACACAATGTATAGCACATTATTGTGAACGGATAGCAAGTTTACCCAGATCTTTTAGAGGTGTAGAGGTGAAGGCTAAGTTGCTTTTTTCTTTTTCTTTTTCTCCTTATCCATTTCAACCATCATTAGTCGGAGTTAGGCAGTAAATATGTCATTTTGCTTTAGCAGCAATTAGAGGAAACTGAACTGCAAAATTTGCCTGTTAGCCCTAGATTAATTCAATCCAAGTTGTTTTCATCAAATGCTGCAGATTACTGGGGTGGGAATCTGGGTCCAGCCTCGTGGGAGCTGTCCAGTGATTAAAGCAAAGCTGTGGTTACAGGCTTGGCTGTCCATTAGCACAGAATGTGAATTTCATGGAACATGACGGCACCATGAGAACGTGCCAGACATATTTTTTTCTTTGACTCTTCTACGTACTTGCACACTTCCCTCCACAGCTGCCCCATAAAGTTGGCTGTACCTGTCTGCTTTCTCCCAGTGGTAAGATGCATCTGTGTGATTACAATGGGAGACCAGGCACCTGGTCTGTTAACTGTGGGAATCTTCAGAAACGGACAAACCTTCTGTTGAGTATGCAGCATTTTAAGCCAAATGGCATGAGTGTGATTTGAAGCTGTGGCAGTTAGAACGTAGGCAATTTCACTTGAGAAATGACTGCCACACAGAGCTGGTCAGCTGGTGACACTGTTGCTCAGAGATAATAACAAAGAATGGATTTTCCTGATTTTTTTTATTTTTTTCCCAGTGGGAGAACAAGCACTGTCTCCCTTTTTACTTTTCACCTCCCCCTTTTGCATGGAAATATTCGATAACAGCCCTGTGACTCCATGAGGCGTGGTGGTAATATGAGAAAGCACTTGGACCACACACACCCTTCACTAGAGCCTGTGGCCTCCTTAGGCTTTCACTGTAGCAAAGACTGGAACAGCCTTAAACTTGCCATCATCTCCCTTTTCCCTCTTTCCCACAGAGTAATGCAGGCTAGTAGAAAAGCCTAGGGGGGTTTTCATTTCCTAGGCACTTTGAGCTGAACAGCCCTTTCTCACTTAAGGATGTGATATGTTTGTGCAAATTGAGGTGTTGGTGATTTGGAGAACTGGGTAGCTAAAGAAGATGGAAAAAGGGGGAAGGAGTCTTGTTTAGGTTTCCTGGATCCAATCCAGTGCATTTCAGGAGTGGCTGAAAGTCAGTGCCCTTGGACTGCTTGGCTGGCCCCTGCCCAACTTCCACCAACGCAGCTGGCACCGACTGATCCCCTGGTTACTGTTCTCATTGGCAAGGCAGTGTACTAGCTGGACCAAAGACACTTCTCTTCCCTTTTATCCACAGATGGCCTCTTGAGAGCTTCCTGCTCGTTGCTCAGCTATGTTATTCTTGTTCTAATGATACAGCATCACCGTGGATGGTGAATGATAAGTCATTTTGTATTTATAAAATGAAGGAGATGGATCTGAAAATCAGCCTGATCATGTTAGTTGGTAGAAGGGGAGCTAAGGAAGAGGGAAATTGTCATGATCACAATAGTGAAGATAGGATTGGGGAAAAATAAACATCTGGATTTTTGACTGCAGCATTTGTATAACAGCATCTCATATTGCAGAATTGGTTATTACTAGAAAGTTTGTACTGAATTCTAGCAGCCCGTTTCAGAGGTTAACTGGTCTCATGCAGTAGGGATGGATTTATAAATCCAATATAGCTCAAGTTTCTGAATGCCCATTTTTATTCCACTTGTGATTATATGTCTTTGCAATGGCAGTAAATGAAGCAAGGAATGTTTCAGGGAGCTTTGTGTAAAATAGAATAGATGTGGAGTGGGAAAAGGGAGAAGGATACACCTCAAACAGGCAGAGGAGTATCAAGTGCTGATATACCTGGTTTGAATTCCCAGCATGTTGAAGTGTCTGTTGTCACGTCCCTTCCAGCCTGTGAGCCACCTCTGCGTGGTCCAGCTACCTCAACTATGGACGTGTTTACAGTAATGGAGAAGTAAACTCTCAGTTAGCAACAAGTCTGTGAACAGATGGAGAAAAACAAGGACAAAGGCCCCAGAAGCACTTCGGGCCAACTTATGCAGACATCAGCACGTCAAGGGGACCTGCCTATGTTGGTCTGAGGGTGCACTAGCAGTGGTGGTGCGTGTGGAAGCGAAGAGCTGGACTGGTTTACTGTGTGCAGTTAATGGGACACTCATGCAACAGCTGTTGCTGCTGTGCTTAGGAATTTGTAATCTCAGACCTGTGATAATATCTGATTCTAGAGATTCCTTTAATTTTGTTTTTATTAAAAGTGCTTTACATTTCTAGAGCTCTTAATTAAGAAGGTCAACAGCAGTTTAATCTAAATGATCCTTGAATCTCAGCCAAACCCTCAGTATGTTTTGAATGCTCCTTCTGTGCAGTGTGACTCTAACATCTCTGACTAATGCATACACAGGCAAAGAACTGAAAGCGGTGATTTATTCTATTAGGTCTTTCCTATCAGCATATGTTCTTTTCTTACAACAAGCTTTTCGTGCAAGATTTTGGACTGTTTCCCTGTTCTCCACCCTCCAGAGAGACATGAGGGAAGTTCTACCATGGGAAACTGGACAAAAGTTTGAGGAATAGATACCAGAGAACAATCCTGCTCTGAGGGGAACAAGGAAAGGGCCAGAGGTGATCTAACGTATCTGTGACCTTTAGGATAGCAGCTGTAATGGCGTTTCAAGTTGTGTAAACACTGTCCATCTGTAGGTCTTGTGTAACTGTGCCTCAGTACCTAGGACACATTATCTTAGCCAGAATCTTGGAGCAAGTGACAGTGAAGTAGTAGGGATTGAAGCTGACATCATGTGTTTACAGTAATGAAGTGAGGGGAAGACTCAGACCATGTTAGTGACCTCACTGAGTTAAGCTGGCGGGCAAAGTGATGGCTAGCAAAACCCACTTGTTGACAAGCTGCATCTGAGATGTGTGGGAAGTATGCTTTGTTTTGGTTTGCTTTGTATTGAGTTCTGTACACAGCGTGAGCACAACACCTAAGAATCACGGCAATTAAAGGAGCTGTAATACATTGGTTTTGCCCTTTTCTTGCTTCTGCAGGATGTCTTGCTCTTGAGCCAGTTCATCCGTTCTGATGGAGGGATGCTGCCACGAAGGATCACAGGCCTCTGTTTGGAGGAGCACAAGAAGATTGCTGCCTGTGTGCAGATGGCACACCGTGCAGGTACCTCACCTCCTCCTTCAGACAACATCCTTAGTGCAGGGCAGAGAGCCCCATGAAAGGACTCTCTCACCCAGTTAGTATGCTGGTGAGATTTCAGTGTCTAGTCAGCAAACCCATTATGCACCAAGTACAGGGGCAGGATGACTGACCAGAAAGAAACTACTTACTCTGCTTTCTTTCTGTCTTGGTTCCTGCCTTAGCAGTAGATATTTACTCCTAGGTGAGTCTACCATTGCTGAAAGATGTGGGAAATCTCAGTCTGTAGTACCTAATGATTAAATGCCAGTTTCTAAATTGACATGTTTTAGCATAAGCTTGATTTTCTACCCATTAATGTACCTGTCTCCTATCTGCCTTGGGAAGTTCTTTGTTTTTAACTGGGAGCAGATCCCAGGTTAACACAGTCTGAGTATTATCCAAGTTAAATTGACTGAAGATTTTAATAGTCAAATTTTCATCCTGAAAGTGGAATCTGATTGGACTTTAGTGCTTTATGTTCTCTCAAAAAGCCGTTCTGTTGAGCCTAAGTCCTTGGCATGTGTTTCCTCTCAGTGTGTACACCAGAACCTCCTAACTGATCTGTGGCTAGAGTGCTGGTTCAGCAATGGCAAAAGAAAGAATAAATACTTTTTCTGCTCTAGTTGTGTTTTAGCAGTAGGGATCTGGGTTGCCTGGCTTATGAGGTATAAATAACTTGTAGATGCTATAGATGCAACAATGGCACTGTATTCTCACACCTTTCTTTTTCTATCTCAGGTTTGCTGCCAAACCACAGGCCTCTACTTCCTGAAGGACATGTTCCCAGGAAACCCAAGTTGAACAGGTGAATATTCTTGTCTTTCCATGTCTCTTTTTCAGGAGTAGGTTAGAAGAGAAAAAGCAGTTCTTTATAACTGGCTAGAACATGCCTTACGCAGCAGGTCTTACAAAGAATACGTGTCCACTGTCATGAAGTTCTTTCATTAGGCTTTTAAGGACAAACTGCATCTCGTTCAATCAGTCTGTCCCCACATGATGAATGCCACACATTAGTCTGCCCTCCCTTCTTCAGCCTCACTTGCCTCCTGTTCATTAATATTCAGTAGGACAGACATAAAAAGCTGCCACAGAAATGGAGTCACAGCATCACAGAGCAGTTGAGGTTGGACAGGTACTGTGGAGACTATTTAGTCCTCACCTGCTCAAGCAGGGTCACTTACTGCTGATTAACCAAGAATGCCTAGCCAAATTTTAAATATCTCCAAGGGTAGACCATTCACAGTTTCTCTGGGCAGCTTGTTCCAGAGTTCTACCACTCACAGTTAAGGAGGTACTTTCCTAAATATGGATGACATTTCTTTCAATTTGTGTGCATTGCCTCTTGTCTTTTTGCTGGGCACCACAGAGACAAGCCTGGCTGCCTTCTTTGTACCTTCCTTTCAGGTATTTATAAGCACTGATAAGACTCTCTCTGAGCCTTCTTGTGTCCAGAATAGAGAGTCCCTTCTCTCTCAGCCCTTCAGTGTCCAGCCCCCATCTGCGCTTGGGACAAAAGGGTGCTCAGGATGGGTACCAGCAATGTGTTGGGGTGAGCAGCTAGCAGGGGCCTGACAGAAGCTTGTTCTACTGTGCTCCATCTCCATTTGCCCTTTCTGACTGCAAGCTGTGATTCGTCCTCAGCCTGCCCTTCCTGTGTAACAGGCTGTCTTCCCCCTCCCAGGACTGAATGGCCCCTGGCCTTGGGGGCGAACCTAAAGGCTGCTGTCGCCTTCTGTGCTTTGCTCAGCGTTAGGAGGTGCTAATCCCCTGTTTATGGCCTCACACTCTGTTTCCATGGGGATGTCAGAGCGGTTTATGAACCCTGCATTAGCAAGCCATAGGGTTACCAGAGGCCATGGGGCTGTTGCTGGGAGAGCTTAGGCTTCAGGGTTTGGGGCAGTCAGAGACTCCTTCCTGCATTTCAGGTCTAATGCTCTGCAGTGGAGATCTGAGGCAGGCCCTTGGAAACGTCCCTGAGATGCTGTCAGGCTGTGCACTGAGTACTGGGGAGAATCAAACTGGAGGACTCTAGGATTGGTGCAGCCTTGTTTCCATCAGATACTTTGACTCTTTGTTCCTGTATCTTAAAAGTCTTTGGGGTTCTTTAGTTGCTGCATCTATCCAGCAGCTGTGGAGTGTAGCGCATTATCTAGTTAGCATTCACACAGCAACCCTGGGTCGAGACAGGAAGTGATAAATCCTGTATCTTGCTGGAATCGCACCAGGACTCCAGGTCTAATGCCTTGAATTTTGTAAATTGTTGTTTAGAATTTTAGCGAGAACAGAAATACCTCAAGACGTGTTCTACATGGAAGCAGGTGCTTCCACCTCTAAAATTAAGAGATTTTAATTAGTGATTAATATACACACCTTCCTGTTGTATTGCTAGTCCCACCTTACACCACATGATTTTTTTCTTTCCAGCAAGAGAATGTAACAAGCAGATTGCAGACAATTGAGGAAAAGAACAAAGCTATTGTTGAGGAGATGGAACAGCAGTGAAATAGGCAGTCTTTGGGGGTCTGAATGGAGACAATGCAAGGGATCAATAAATTTGATTGAAAGCTTTGGTAGTGATGGAGCTGGAACTAAATAAGTCCTGGAACCAGGGTAGAGTGTAGGGGTACTTCAGGAGTGCATCTGTGGTCTTTACAACATTAACTTCTCAGTCTGTTGGAAGGGGAAAATCTGTATCTCCTTGGAAATCTTATCCAGTGGGCCTCTCTGAGAGTTTTACTTAGGCCTGCCGCTTCCTGGACTTTCCACGTTGTTCTGTGGAACCGTAGCTGGCATTGGTTGAAGCAGGAGTTAATTACTTCCTTCCTCCTGCCCTACAGGAGCAGTGTGCCCCTGCAAGTTTGGAAGGGTACCTGTGCATGCTGTAGACTTTTAACCAGCACTTACTTGAGGAATGAAGACAGAGTTATTCTTGGAAGTTTCTTCTGAAAACAACTTGTCCAAGCTTACATTCCCTTTGCCTATGTAACCATTCTTGAAGTCTTTGTAAGGCCATAGTAAGCGGGAATGAACTCAACATGTGGTAACTCCAAATGCAAGGGAGCCAGCACTTGAGGCCTGCTGGGTTTTCAAGCACAGGTAGCCTATCATGGTAGGTGCTGTTTTGAACAATTTTCCAAATCTCTGAGATTGGGTTTTTCTTGAGATCCCTGTATTGACTGCTGTAGTTGTCTTTATCTCTGTTTAAATAAGAAGGAACTGCTTTATTTTGCACTGCTACTGTAGCCCTGGGAATGTCAATGGGGAGAAAATGAGCGATCATGTAATGTGCAGTTGTATCAGATTGCATCTTGGGCTACTTGTTAAAGCTTTTCAAGACTAGAATACAGGTAATGAACATTCCTTAGCACTTAGCACCAGCCCATGTACTCTCCAACTCATCCTGCAGTAATGGCTTCTTCGTTCCACCAACACCGCTCTGTGTGTAGTGTTGAAATAGATTCTTCTGCTCTCTATCTCCTCTAGAAAGCCCTGACCACTCTTTTAACAAGGATCAGGGATGCTGCCCTGCAGTTGATCTATTGATGTGAAGTTTGGATTTCTTGCTTTTCTGGAAGGTGCTTTTCTGGTGCTTACAAGCAGAATCACTGTTATATTTCTGAAGTTGTTTTATTGTCTCCATTGTACATGCTTCAGACATTCTCTCTTACATGCCCCAGAATTGTCTGCATATTGGTAAGAATTTACCTGTTTTGTACTGGGTCATTTCACAGGCAGCTGACCCCATTTCTTAACCTGTTTCTGGGATGCAAGAGTAAAAGTAGAATGCTTTTGATCCCAGCTTGTTCTTGGTCATGCAGCTCTAGCACAGAGTGTATGTGATCACATCCATCATCCAGGATGTAATGTAACATAGAGAAGGAGATGGGGAACTGCAAAAGAAGGTACCACATGAAAGTGGAATGCCAGTTTGAGCCACACTGGTCATCATGGTAGTGGGTGATGTGTGGAACAGAATTTAATTGAGGGGCACTCCACAGCTCTCTGCATTTGGAACACTGTCCAGGTAAGACCCACTGTGTCATTCCTCATTTCTTGGATTTAGTTCTTTCTTTTCACATTCTGCCTGATTTGTTTTTGATGATGAGAGCTCATGCGTATTATTGCTTAACTGCTTTATTTGCTGTGGGCTCTTCTTTAGAAATATGGCCATCAGAGTTTCTGCATCGTCCGTAAACTCTTCAGTCTATTGTCCTCTCCCTCTCTTTCATAACATTTATCTACAGAACTTGGGCATGAAACCAGTGAAGATTACCCCTGTCATTACAGAATTAGTCCCTATGGTTCATTTATTTGGCCCAGTCTGGGGCTTTCACTGTTTCCAAGGGTTGATTCTACAAGCAAACTTGTCTTGTAGCCAAAGCTTGTTCCCTCAGCCTGTCTGAATTCTCCCTTTCATAACTTCCTGTTATTACTTCTTATTTTTGAGTCCATTTATGCTCCTGCCTGGCATGTTCTGGTAAAGTGCTGCAGCAACAAAATATTGCCACTAGCCCATGAGGTTGAGGACATTTTCAAGGATTACACCAACACTGTGTGGAGTGACAGGCTGTTTGCAGATTCCAGGGTCGTACGTGCAGGCCACCACACACCAAAACCAATTTGGGAAGCTGTTAAGTACAGCTGCAGGCCACACTTCTGTACTTGCTTTCCAGGAGTGGAAACCTGAACAACTCAGCAGTTTTGTTTACAGCATGGAGTTTACTGCGTGGATATTGTGGATTAACTATCCAGAACAGACACCAAGTTCAGGCCATCATCTAGATGCTTTCTTAACGTGAATATACCACTCTTTTTCTTCTGGTAGGCCCCTATTGGTGGTTAAAGTATAATGTTGAGAAGTTGTTCCCTTTTCCAAAAGACTGAAGGATGTCACACGTTCCTTGAGTCACCCGTACTCTTGTCAGCAAGACATGCTGTACATGTGGAGTATGTGATTTTAAGTTCTCAGTTACTATTCCATTTTCAGCTTCCTACTGGAAGAACAGAAATTGGCACAGCTAATATCCAGGTCAGTCCTTCCTCCGCATGAACTGGAGAATTTGCTATGTGTCAGGGAAGAGGCAGGTTCCATATGAGCTCCTTATGAATTATAAAGTTCTCAGGCTCTGCAGACATCTCTCATCCCTCAGAGCAGAATCTGATTTCACTGCTATCAGTGTTTCATTCCAGCAGCTTGTGGTTTCTCTCATCTGTATGGGAAGTGTGTGTGCATAGCATGTGAATTCAAAAGAGCAAAGAGCTGGAGTGGCTGCAGGTGAGCAAAACCAAGAAGTGTCAAGGGAACGGATGTGGCAGAGAGGAGGCAGTCTTGCCAGCACTTTGATAGAATGCTTCCTGCACAGTCTGTAGCCCGCTGCCTTCTGCTCTTAATCCAAACAAGAGACGGACTGAAAAAGTTCAATGAGGGTTCAGAAGTTCAGCCTTGAACCGCACCAGCATACTTGGGCTGCGCACAGGGCTGCAGTAGCCCCACGTGTAGATAATTTCTTTTACCCAGCACACAGAATTTCTGTGCTTATTTCAAGGTGTTAAGCAGCAGCCTCTAGGTGGGAAGGGTTTGGGGCCCTCGTGCTCATGGAGTAAAATCCATGGAAACTGATTTCTACGTGCCACAGATATTTTAGGTAACTGCAGTGACTGTGGCTGACTAATTACAGCTTTTTCCATGCATTTTATGTCTTGTCATTTCCAATCATAGGAATGTGACCAAGATTTCCATCTTGCTTTGTCCACACTAGTCACTTGTGTATCTGGAGTCTAGGGATTCTGGTTGTTCTCTGGGATCCCACCACACAAAAGGTGGCGAGCAGAGCCCTGGGGTTGGTTGCTGCTCTCTGAGATTGCATATCTTTCCTCTTTGTCCAGAATGAGAGCTCTGCATAATGAGGTAACCGGTTAGGAGACTGGACACCAGTTGCATCTGGCATCCACATGGAGACTGTGTCCTGACAACCCTCAGCTGATTGAGAAAATTTAGACCATCTGGCAGTGTATGTCTGTAGGTTATTGTAAAAGCTCCCCAAGACAAACCAGGTGGCTCGCTACAATGGAAACTTGGGTGACTTGGCTGGAGAAGGGTGCACGATTTCTTGAAACACTAGATTACATGGACAGTAGAGTTCACAGGAAAGTCCTGAGTGCTGGGCTTTGAAGCTCTCATATATGAGTTTTGTGGATTCTTGTTACTCTTGGGGACAAAAAAGAAATCTATTCTATGAAACAGCAGAAACTGGGGTTAGTAAAAGAGGAAAAGAAATTTCGTAGACTGAGTGCTCCCAGGCATCAGGCTTTTGCTATTGCTGAATCAAGGTTTAAAAAAAAAAAAAAAAAAAAAAAGCAGCAAACAAAATAGGACAAGTTTGAGTTTGGGACAAAGCAAGTATTAAAAGTGCTAAAAGCAAATGTGCTCCAGGAAGGGAAAGCGTCCAAATGTCTGTTTCAGCAAACAATGAAAAGCCCCAGCCTGCAGTCCCCAAAGGAAGCTAAAAGCCTGGACCAGAGGGCTGGATTAGACCTGCTCAAAGGGGAAATAACAAAAGCTTTAAAATCAGGCCATTACTAAATCCTCCTTCCTATGCAGAATTGGGGTGTGCACTTTCAGCCCCCACACAGAAACAGAGGGATTTCTTAAAAAGCCACTGTCTGTCTAAACCTGCACACAGCATTGATGTGTATCTCGCATTCACACATTTGCTTCTCTCTCAGTGAGAACATTTATTACCATGGGACCACTTTCCTGTACACGTGCAGACACATGACCAGAACTGCACTTGACATACTGTTGCATTAAAACAATTTCAGATTTTTTTTTCTTCCTTTGTTGTAACTGCAGTCTTGTGATACTAAAATTTGTGCTACAGGCTTCCCTTCATGGGGAAGTGTGAGAAAATGCAGCCCCGTGTGCCTGTCAAATAACTCTACGCCTTCTTCCAAAAAAAGCTGCCTTCCATTGGCTCTTTCCCAAGTAGGGACCTGTGTTTGGTCTCTTTGAACTCCCCTGACGTTTGGAATGAGAGATAGGAGTCTCTCTGACTTCCTATCCTCATATTGTTATGTAAGGGATTCCGTTAATGCAGCAGTATAACATTACAATTCAAAAGGGGCTAATATATTGCATTTATGTGAGAAAAACTGACTGAACTTTGTTCCACACCATCTTTTGAATCCCTCCTGCCATCCTAACTATCATGAAGTCCTGAAAGTAAAAGCTTTCAAGTTTGAAAGTGGCTTGATTTCAGTGGCAGGAACCTCTAAATGTGATCCATTTTTTCAATCTGTATTGTTCGGGATCGCTGGGGAAGAAAAGTACTAGGAAAATGTGTTGCTGTTACACAGTCTATAGCTGCCTGGCATTGCAAGCTTTCTTTGTAGTTCCTGGGAATCTGCCACATGCCTTCAAATAAATGCATTACATGGTCTCTGTCCAAAGTTCTTAATATCTCCAATTTGCATGATGCAAATGAAAGGTAACAAAGCTGTTTGGGGAGAGGATGACTGATTGAGGTTACATTAAGACCATGGGATTACTCAACATAGGCATGCAAACATCACTGGACGAAGTTTATCAGACTGTTCCAAATTCTAATTTGTTGGAGCATTGTTTGTGCAGATTATGCTGGGGTTTTACTTTGGATCTTTATTGTCTGAAAAGACTCTTCTTTCTCTAAAGACCTCTGTTCCCTTTCTACTGGTAGCAAAAGATTTAAAGCCTAACAAAACTCCAGGCCACCCAGCCGCAGGGTAAGATTTCCAGTAACCGATTCTGAATCTGAAATCCCCTGCCAGTTTGCAAAGCCAAGTCTAAAACTTCAAATGGTAAAAAAAGCAGAGGATATTTGCCAGACTTTACTCCGGACAGAGATTTGCAGTTGCAAAAATTCAATTATAGTACCTCTTCCATTGCAGGTTCTGACTTCCTGCAGCAGCAAACTGGAATAGTATTATAAAGAGAATGCTAAAGCAAATTCGAGCATGTGAAAATGCAAAAACTGGGCCAGAATCACATCGTGTGGAAAAGAAATACCCATTGATCCACTGAAAGCAAACTAGTTCTTTTTTGGAGATTATTTTAACTGAACTTGGCCTTTGTAATCAGTTTTATTTTATTGAGGCGAGCTCTTGAAATGACATCTCCCCTACAAAATGGATGGACTCGCTCTTGAACTTAGTTGCAATGAAGGGATTCAGCACTCCACGTTCGCTACAGGTGGACAACATGCCGGCAGCCTGGAGATTACACCTGATTTGTTTCACATGACTGGAAGTCAGGCAGGTGCCAGTGGCTACAGTACAGCAGAGGTGCAGCAGTTCCAAAACAAATAGTCCTTTTCAGTGGTTCCCTTCTGAACTGAGAGAGTTCTGCTCATCATTACTGCTTTCATAAAGAGGCAGGCGGAGAGGCAAAGGCAAGCAAATGAGTGTCAGCTTCTGCTTTGACTAAAGCTGTTTTGCCGTGATCGGTCTCAATTTGAAATACGTGTGTATTGTTTTGACAGGTATCTGACTCGCTGGTCCGTCAGATCTGCAAAGCCCATCTGGAAGAGGGGCCCTAAGTGGTGCAGAGTTCCCATGCCGGTTGGAAACCTTCTTCTGAAGGATAATGTCAAATATATATACAAGCCGCTTTATTACAACCACTAGATTCCTGAACTGGCACAGTCAATGAGCACAGCTGTTTTACACTGTTCTTCTTTTTTGTTTGCAAGTTTGCTGGTATTTCCAAATTCAAAAACTCTCATTAGTGCTCTGTATTGTCTCTGGTGAATAAGCTGCGATGTTCCTCAAGGAAAACACAGGATTCAGCAAAGCAGAATTCAATGTTCAAAATGATTTTGGAGAAAGCAGGGGGCCAAGATTCTACCTCAAAGGCAGGAAGGCTTCTTTGTCACTGTAGTCTACTGCTGGGCTTGGAAAGGTGGTTTCCTTCTTTCCCAGAAATAAACGGTAATTCCCCTTTATTGTGTTTCAATTTGGATTTGCCTCATTTGGGCTGTTGTATCTCGACACTGATGGAAGAAAAAACCTCCTGCAGCACCGTGTTTCCTCAGCAGTAACAAGTTATGTTAATGGCTACCAAAGTGAAATATTTTTATAATCTGTACTATCTGTAATTTGCAGCAGAAAACACATGGCAGTGGCAGGCAGGCATGTGTATTTCTTACACATCCAGTTCAGTGTTCCTACCTTGTGCATCCTTCCTGAATCAAGCAAATACACAATGTTGATATTCTTGACAACTGGACTTGCTTTTTCTCCCTGCAAATGCATTTTCTACATTTTCCATGTCAGTGATGAGGGTCCTTCTCAGGATAGTTTTGGGCTGCCAGATGTGCACAATTTTCTACCCTGTAAGTGAAAGGTGGCACCATTTCTGTCCTTATATAATATCTGTATGCAATTTCCACTGATCATTTCTCTTAAGAAGTGCTAATTAAGGGCCTCATATGAAAGGCTTATTAAATTATTAGGGTCATTATTGGTTCCATTTCTTTGATACTTATCTGAAAGCCACAAATCAACACAGCCTTTTATATGTACTGCTTGCATCAGAATTATCAGTTAATACTTACTGGTATGGATAGGAACAAAGGATTGGGATAAACCCATGTTACCTGGGAAATCAAATTAGTTTATAATGGTTTTTTGTTTGTTTTTTGCTTCTGTGAAATGCAAGCCCTGAATTTAGCCCCTTGAGCTGGCTAAGATGTTTTGGCTTTGGGAAAGAACCGACACTCTAAAATCTCTGGGCTGGCCATCTCTGTTTTAACGAAGCTTTGAAACCTTCAGTCCTTCAGGAAGGAAAAGGTTTTTCCTTCTCCTGTGAACAGAAGTGGATATGTTTTCTAGCCCAGGTTGCTGTGCTCAGTGAGTTCTGCTAACAGAAATGTCACTGGATAAAGCCATAGCTTTGAGGTGAACCTAAATGAGAAAGTTTTGCAAACAACTAGATGATGCCTACAGTTAATTTTTTTCTAAAGTTTTGTGAAATAAGCTGGAAAGACTGCACTAATTTTTGTGAAGCCTAACACCTGAAAAACAAAACGCTCCTGTCTTCATGATCCCTTAGAGTAAGCAACAGCTTTGTACTCTAACTCCAAGGGAAAAACTCTGCTTTCGTTTGGCATTCATGGGTGACAGCAGGCATTCATTTATGTTCCTCCAGATGAGATTTTGTTTAAAGCATCATGTCTCTGTACACAATCAGATGGCCCAGGTTTGATTTCTGACCTAAGACTTTGCCCTTGATGGAAGAAAATGTCATTTGTTGCTAGCTGAAGGATCTGTCGTGACATATTACAGGGTATTTAATCAGGAGGTGAGGATTCATGCTGTGAAGTCCTAGGAAAAAATCAAGGCGCAAAACAATCCAGCTCACAGTGCAGAGGTTTCACGTGTTTATTAGAATAAGCTATAGATCTCCCAAATATAAATTCTAAATATTTTTGAGTGATCATCCCAGAGAAGTGTTTCACAGCATGAAAGGCAGATCTAAGTTCTTCTCACCAGTGCCACAGTAGATGTAGCCATATTGCTTCGTCTTTGGGACATGGTAGAATGTCAGTCCAAGCCACAGCAGACTTCTCAACACCACCACAGTGCATCCCTTCTCAAGCTGGACAGTCCAGGAGCCTGTAAGAGAGCATAGCTAATGTGTCACTGCAAATAAGAAAGACTGAATTCCTGGGGCAAGGGAGAAGGACTGCCCAACTATTAAACAGTACACGAGGCTGCATCAATATGTTGGAGTTCCTAGCACCCAAAAAGGAAAATCAGACCAAAAACCTCAATGTCCTTTCTTCTTTTGGCAGTTCTGCATTACTGGCTGCATTTATTTCCAGGTGTCTGGTTTTGCACTCGCACAATCCTACAGCCCTAACAGTAGTGTCACAGGGATCACAGGAAGGATCCCCTGGAGCTCCAGATTAGTATATTTTATCTCTAGGAGAGGCTACTGCTTGGCTGCTGCTGAATGGGCAGCAGTTACTTTAGCAAGCCCTGCTACCTATTTGGTCCAGCTACTAGCTGAATAGCAATCCTGTGAATATTTGCCCAGGTATGAAATTTCTTCTCAGACTCGTAGCATTAGTAGTGGAAAGAAGAAGGCACTTCAGGGAAGACAGGAACTGACAAAGAGGAAGAAAAGAAAGCTAAAAGCAGGATGCTTCCTATCTCAGAAATTTACAGAAAACGTTAATTCTCTTCACTCTTTTGGTTTCATCGTTGACAAGGACGTGCGTAGTAGGGGCAAAGAAATTAGTTTTGGCAATAATTTTGCCTTGGCTTTGCAGAGGAAAGTGTGAAAATGCAATTTCTCCTGGATGCAAGGAGCTCTGAGCCACTGAATATTGTTTTGTGTTTGACACAACAGCCTAGGAACAATGCCAGAGGGAAAGGGGCTAGAGCACCAATTTGGATTCAGTGCTGGGTTAAGAAGCTTCCTGGAGAAGAAAGTAACATCTTCAGTGCCAGATGCCTAGATGCTGCAATGTAGGGAAGAAGATTCCTGCTGAATCAACACTTAAAAGCAGAAGCAGCAGACCCAAATAAAAAAAATTAAAAAAAAAAGTCAGAGCTGTCTGGACACTACTGCCTAGAGTCAAGTGCTGAGCCTATATGGTGAGCTAAAAATTGCCAACTCAGGAGTAAGCAGAAAGCCCATAGTGTAGATAATTCTGGGGTCTTCAGTTTATACTATGACTCATGCTTACTCTTGTCATGGTTAGCTTGGAAAAGGATTTCTGTGATTACTGCCAGCTGCCAATCCTCCCTCTCCCAGTAACTTCCAACTCTTGGCCAATTGCATCTGATGGAGAGCTGAGGGGCTTAAACATCACAAGATCCTACAAGAGGTCTCCCTGATACATGGTCTAGAAATCCAGGGCTTGACTACAACTCCTGAAGCTATGTATGTGGTCTGCCAGCAGATGCAAAAAGTACATGCTGTTTGGCTTGCCTGGCAGTCAAAAAGCAGCAGCTAGCTGGGCACTCAGTGTTTGCATGTCTTCAGTCTTTTGCACATTTACAGTACATGTAGTCTCTTACACAACAGTTGATTTCTTGTAGGAGGAGGAACATGACCAGGGATGTTGAAAGCAAATGTATATATGATGTCTGCAGAATGACAAAGGAATAACACAATTCAAAATCCTGTAAGACCAGGTGTCATGATGATACCTGTCCTCTTCATATTTCTGTTCTTTTCAGAAGTTTCTTGGACAAGACTTTTTCCTGTCTTTCAGTAGGAAGTTCCACAGGTATGTTATATCGTAATATGCACAACATAATTCCTGTGTGATCTTTGACCTGGTATCCTTTCAAGTACCGTGTTTAGTTACGTGCAGACCACAAATGAACCACAAGTACCCCTTCACCTTCTGTGACAGTCAATGAACTTTCTGATAAACTAACTGTATGGAAGTACAAAGAAGATATTAACAGTCTTTAAAGACTTGGGAGATTTTTGCACTGAAGAGTTTACTTCTGACTCAGTTCCTTGTTTACACTACAGACAAACAACTGGAACCGCCATAAAGCAAAGCACTCACTATTCAATACAGGGCAGGATCAGTACAGGTGTGTGGCATCTCTGCAAGTTACTACACTGTGGAAGAATTATTGTGCAGGTCTTACTTAAAACATGAATTAGTGTCTCTACAAACAGTTGTTTCATACAAGATAACCCCAAGTCTCCCATGCAGCCTCTCCAGTGCCAGTCATAGGGAAACAAACCGCAATGGATCTTTGTCATAACTGGAATAAATGCATACACTATGATTCAGCCACTGAGATTACACATTATGACTGACTGAGTCTCCTACAAAATCCACAGGTACCTAAGCAACTTCACTACTTGAATGATGTGGAAGCCCAGGTGAAGAACACTTCCAGAACAAGGCAGATCATCCAGTGACTGAAGCCCATGACTGAAGTTCTACAGCCATCTGCTGTCAAAGCAGAATCTTTCAAACAATTTCTTGAACTTTTCTTCTGAAGTTTTCAGCATTTGCTATCAGTGCTAGCTAGACTACATTTGAGGGTGTTGGATAAGTGGAAAACAGATCTGAATGTAATTGTGACAAATAACTTTCAATTTCTCCATGCAACACTGAACTGACTTTTCTTTCAGTGCAGAGTTTTTGCAGATTCAGCCTGCAGAAAAGATCTGCAGCCCTCCATCTAGATACTGGTGGTTCTTGCTGCAGCTTTACGTAGAGGCTTGTAGGGAGGACTGTAAACTGTTGAAAGACTTTCTCTGGCTATGGAATGGAGAACTCCCATTGTCTTTGACTCTGAACCAATCCTCCAAGAAGCAAGTCTGTCAAGGATAGGACTGTATCTTGCCTTGCTGAATGGTGAAAGCCCTTAGGGATCATCTAGTTTGCTAATGCCTCCCAGTATAATGGAAGCAGCCAGCACCTTCAGTACATGTGATAGCTTATGTATATGTGTATATGTGTTCATGTACACAGATGAATGCTTCGCCCCAAACTATTTGTAGTCAAGAACAAAAAGAAATGCCTGGAGCATGACAAGTGGGGAAGGTGAGAGGGAAGACAGGGATGCTAATGCTCTCAGTTCCTACATTTGGATTCGGGCTTTTTTGTTGGACAAATTCACAGAGAAGATATAGTAAATCAAGTTCTGCTTGATTAAATCCACTTATCTGTGCTCAGGGGAAATATAGTACATGAATCCATGATCTCCTCAGAACGTGTATCCAGTGTCACACAGGCTTATCAATCTCCCTGGAGTATTCAACAATTAACTCTGCTGATCAAAGGAACTTCCTATACCCCTTCAAACCTGGCAGAAATGGATCGATGTAATGGATGACAGCTTCATACACTTTTATGCTAGATCTCTGAAGGTTGTGATGGACAACTGCTTCATTTTCCTACCATCAAGCCGCGATCTCTCGAAGGACTCAGATTTGTCATTTCATAAATACAAGACCTTT